CCACGCCTGTCCAGGAAGTGCTGCAGGTCCTCCCCCTGCACGTACTCGATGACGAGCTGCAGCTCCGGCCCGGTGTCCACCACCTGGAAGAGCTCCACGATGTTCGGGTGGTGAAGGGCCATTGGCAGAGGGAACCCCCAGCGGTTTCTCAGCCTTAACGAAAAAGCTGCCGCTTAACGACAACCCTTGGAATGCCTGAGAGGCCCTTTCATTTGTCCTGAGCAATCCCGTCCTAGGTTTTGGCTTTTCAAGGCGTCCCCATCCTGGCCCTGCTTTGTGCAGATGCTTTACTGTCGCGCTCACACTGTGGAGAGAACAGCAAACAGGGGGTGCAGGCGGTTGGGCGCGCACTGGGGAGCTGTCCACAGCCTCTGCCGCGCCTGGCGAGGGGCCCACGTGGCGCGCGGACCCCTCCTGCCGCGCCCGCTGTTCCCCTCAGCAGTGGATTTCAGTCAGTCTGTCTGTTCTGTTGCCGCCTGTCTCTGGGGAATCCTCTCACCCTCCCGCGCATCTGGCCTGCACCCCGGTGCTTGTATAAATAAAATAAATCTTAAAACAATTTTTTTTTTTAAAAAAAGGAGGCACAGTTACTAGTGTTGGAATGAACTAGTAAGGTTTAAATTCTAAAATTTTTAAGAGGTAATTTCAGGATTCTTTTTCAGCCTGTCTTTCTTCTTTGCGGCTATAATTGTGTCATGGACTCTAGTTTAATAGGAAAATAACATTAAATAATAATACTATATACCCAATAGTTCTTTTGAGAAGGAATAAACTAACAAATCCAATAGGTCATAACAATACCAATGTGCTTAAAAATGAAACAAAATATTAGGAAAATCAGAACTTTTTTTTTTAGGTTGCTTTTAACACTTTAGCCAAAATAAAGTGATTTCATAGCGATAAATATCAGGAAGTATAAGTAGCATTGTTTTAATTCTATGTATATTACATATATCAATATGTGCACTTACAAATATATTAATAAGTATCTGAAGAAGGAGATTTAGAAAAGAGAGGTTAATCGTTTTTTCCAAGGTTACCTATATATGATATTCACTCAAAAGAAACAATGACTAATAATTGAGAAACTACACTGTACTTTTGTACAATTGATAGTGTTCTAGTGATCAGGGTATAGAGAGAATGTTGTGGTAAAACTGACTTTTCAGTGGCAGGGAAAAAAAGCAATATAAATAATTTTTAAAATAATCCAACAGAGAAATAACAAATGGTGATAGGATCTGTACAAAGGATCGAAACAAACCAATTGAATTTTCAATACCATTTAGGATAACATCAAAATATGAAACCCTTCAGGATATTTTTAATAAAATGTATGCATCTGTAAAGCTATGAAAACATTATTCTTTCATGGAAATTATAAGACTTAAATAAATGACAATATGAACTCTATTGACAGACCAGGATGCCTACAGCAAAGTTTGGGAGAAAGCACAATTGCAGAGGGGAGCACAGAGAGGCAGAAAGGACTGAATCACCCTGCAGTAAGAAAAAGGAGGTCAGTGTTTCATGTGGACAAAGGAGAAGGAATTGTGAGACAAGGTCAAAGATATTCACAGAAACTAGTCACTCAGAACTTCCTAATTCAGGGTGATGGCCTGACCTTCATGCTAATTGTGAAAACGGAGAGAGGTGTTGGAGAGTGGAGTGAATTGAATAATTTGTGTTTGAGAAAAATCTCTTTGCATTGGGGAAACTAGATTGTAGGAGAACAAGAATGCAACAGGGAAAACAACCGAGAAAATTGCAGTAGACAAAGAGAGGAGTTGGTCAGAGTGGTAAGTTGCTTAGGATGTTAGCTAATAGGGCTGATTTGGATGGATATAGAAAGTGAGGGAAAGACAGAAATTAAAGATGCTGCTAAAATTTTTATCCTGAGCAACTTGGTAGATGTAATTGCTATTTGCTTCTTCTTTTTTTTTTTTTTAAGATTCATTTATTTATTTATACAAGCACTGGGTACAGCCAGAAGTGTGGGAGGGTGAGAGAATTCTCCAGAGCTAGAGCGGAAACGAAATAGGTAGAGTGACGAAATACACTGCTGAGGGGAGCAGCGGGCACGACAGGAGAGGTCTGTCACGCATTGTGGGACCCTCGCTGGTGCCCGGGATCGAACTGGCTCTACAGACGCTACGGGCAGCTTCACAGCCCAGTGCTCATCCGCTGCGCCACAGGGGAGAACCGATATTTCTATTCTTAATTTTGTTGGGGATTGCCACATTATTTTCCACGATTGCAACAATTGAAATTCCTAACAACAATCTACAAAGATTTTTTTCTCTCCACAACTTTACCATCACTTGTTTCTTGTCTATTTTGATAATAACCCTCTTAACAGATAGGAGATAATAACCCTCTTAACAGATATTATGATAATAACCCTCTTAACAGAAGCTCATTTTGCTTCTGATTTGCTTTCTGAATAGGAGGGGAGAAACACACGTTCATGGGCCTGCTGCCATCTCTGTCTCCTGTAGACAAGGCGCTCTTCAACATCTCTGTCCAATTTTTAATGGAGGTGTTTGTTCTTTTTGTGACGAGTTTAATGAGTTCTTTATAAAATTTCTATATTAAGCACTTGTCTGACATATGTAAGTATTTTCACTAAGCCATTAGCTTCTGTTTTTTTAATAGTGGTTTCTTTCACTCTATAGAAACTTTTTAGTGTAATATTGTCCCATTTGGGGCTTCCCCGGTGGCGCAGCGGTTGAGCACTGGATTGCAAATCTGCCTCCAGCCTCTGCAGCGCCGGTTCTATCCCCGGCCACCAGGCAAGGGTCCCATAGGGTGCGCAGACCTGGGGCTCATTAGCGCTGCTGGGCCAGGTGAGGACGCCTCCCCTTTGAGTGGTGCTGGCTTGCCCGGGGCTTTCCGCGCCCGCCTGTCTGCCCGCAGTTTTGGAAGAGGCCGCGGTCGCTGCTTGTCCATGGCTTACAGGGTGTGCCCCCATCCCCCAACACTGACCCCTCCCCTTTCTGGGGCGTGTTCGGTCGCGGGGCCTGCCCCTGGGAGTGTGAGTGCTAGAAGAGGGTGCAGGTGTCCCCCAAGAGCAAGACTGACCATTTCCCAGAGGGGGAAGAGGGTACCGATTTCCCATGGGTGTTGAGGTCCCCCTATGCCCAAGGGGGCTGAGGGTCCCCAAACCCCCCCCACTCAACAGAGCCCCCTGCCGGGGGCCCTGAGAACTGCACCTTTGCACATGCCCAGTCCGGTGGGTGGGATCAGGCTCCTACCAGTGGTGCAGCCTGGGGCTCATCAGTGCTGCTGGGCCAGGTGAGGACGCCTCCCATTTGAGTGGTGCTGGCTTGCCCGGGGCTTTCCGCGCCGGCCTGTCTGCCTGCAGTTTTGGAAAAGGCCGCGGTTGCCGCTTTTCCGTGGATTACAGGGGGTGCCCTGCCCTGACAGTGACCACGCCCCTCGTCTAGGACGACTTCGGGCGCACGGCCCGCTGCTGGGGCTATGAGTGCAAGAGGAGGGTGCAGGTGTGCCCCTGGAGGAAGATTTGCTGTTCCCCCGAGGGGGAAGAGATCCCCGTTGCCCCTGGGGGAAGACGGTTCCCTACCCCCATGTGTGCAGATGTCCCCCACGCCAAAGGGGGCTGAGGGTCCCAGAACAACCCCCCCACTCACCAGCGCCCCCTGCCGGCGGCCCTGAGAACTACACATTTGAGCATGCGCAGGCAGGTGGGCGGGGGTCAGGCTCCGGCCGGGGGTGGAGCCGGGGGCTAATCAGCGCTGCTGGGCAAGGTGAGGACTCTTCCCCTTTGAGTGGTGCTGGCTTGCCCGGGGCTTTCCGCGCCGGCCTGTCTGCCTGCAGTTTTGAAAGAGGCTGCGGTCGCCACTTGTCAGTGGCTTAGAGGGGATGCCCTCCCCTGACAGTGACCCCGTCCCTAGTCTAGGACGACTTCGGGCGCACGGCCCGCTGCTGGGGCTGTGAGTGCGAGAGGAGGGTGCAGGTGTGCCCAGGAGGAAGATTTGCCGTTCCCCCGAGGGGGAAGAGGACCCCGATCCCCCATGGGGAAAGACGGTCCCGAACCCCCAAGGGTGCGGAGGTCCCCCTACCCCCGTGGAGACTGAGGGTCCCCGAGCCCCCTCACCAGCTCCCTCTAGCGGCGGCCCTAGGAATTGCACCTGTGTGCACGCAGAGTCGATGGGTGGGTGGGGTCAGGCTCCCGCCCCGGGGCAGATGACGCTGGGCCAGGGGAAGACGCTTCCCCTTTGATTGGGGCTGGGTTGTCCCGGGCTTTCCGCGTCGGCGAGTCTGCCTGCAGTTTTGGAAGAGGCCGCGGTCGCCGGTTCTCTGGGCCAAACACGGGCTGCCCGCCCTTGACACTGACCCCGCCCCTCTCTCTAGTGTGTGTTCGGTCGCGCGATCAGCCCCTGGGGGTGTGAGTGCGAGAGGAGGGTGCAGATGTCCCCCAGGGGGAGGATATACCGTTTCCCCGAGGGTGAAGCGGGTCCCGATTCCCCATGGGTGTAGAGGTACCCCTACGCCCAAGGGGGCTGAGGGTCCCCGAAACACCCCTCCGCTCAGCAGCGCCTCCTGCCGGCGGCCCTGAGAACGTCTCCTTTGCGCATGCGCAGACTTGGGTGGGCGGGGTCTGGCTCCGGCCGGGGGCGGAGCCGGGGGCTCAACAGCGCTGCTGGGACAGGTGACCACACTTCCCCTTTGACTAGTGCTGGCTTGCCCGGGGCTGTCCGCGCCGGCCTGTCTGCCTGCAGTTTGGGAAAAGGCCGCAGTCACCGCTTGTCCGTGGCTTACAGGGTGTGCCCTCCACTGACAGGGACCCCGCCCCTCCGTCTAGGGCATGTTCGGGCCCAGGGCCTGCCCCTGGGGGTGTGAGTGCTAGAGGAGGGTGCAGGTGTCCCCCAGGGGGAAGATTGACCATTCCCCCGAGGGGGAAGAGGGTCCCGATTCCCCCTGGGGGTAGAGGTCCCCCTACGCACAAGGGGGCTGAGGGTCCCCGAACCACCCCCCGCTCACCCTGCACCCCATGCCGGCGGCCCTGAGAACTGCAACTTGGCGCATGTGCACACGGGTGGGCAGGGTCAGGCTCCGGCCCAGGGCGGAGCCTGGAGCTCATCAGCTCTGCTGGGCCAGGTGAGGATGCTTCCCCTTTGGCTGAGGGTCCCCGAACCATCGCCCCTGTCACCAGCGCCCCCTGCCGGCGGTCCTGAGAACTGCACGTTTGCGCATGTGCAGACGGGTTTGCGGGGTCAGGCTCCAGTCCGGTGCGGAGCTTGGAGCTCATCAGCCCTGCTGGGCCAGGTGAGGACGTTTCCCCTTTGATTGAGGCTGGGTTGACCGGGGCTTTCCGTGTCCGCCAGTCTGCCTGCAGTTTTGGAAGAGGATGCGGTCGCCGGTTCTCTGCCGAACAGGGGGTGCCCGCCCTTGACACTGACCCCGCCCCTCTCTCTAGGGCGTGTTCGGTCGCGTGGCCGGCCCCTGGGGGTGTGAGTGCGAGAGGAGGATGCAGGTGTCCCCCAGGGGGAAGACTGACCGTTTCCCCGAGGGTGAAGAGGGTCCCCATTCACCATGGGGTTACAGGTGCTCCCACCCTCAAAGGGGCTGAGTGTCCCTGAACAACACCCCCGATCACCAGGGCCCCCTGCCGGCGGCCCTGAGAACTGCACCTTTGCGCATGCGCAGACTCGGTGACCGGGGTCTGGCTCCGGCCTGGGGCGGAGCCGGGGGCTCATCAACGCTGCTGGGCCAGGTGACCACCCTTCCCCTTTGAGTGTTGATGGCTTGCCCAGGCCTGTTCGCGCCGGCCTGTCTGCCTGCAGTTTGGGAAGAGGCCGCGGTCGCCGCTTGTCCGTGGCTTACAGGGGGTGCCATCCCCTGACAGGGACCCCGCCCCTCCGTCTAGGGCGTGTTCGGGCCCGGGGCCTGCCCCTGGGTTTGTGAGTGCTAGAGGAGGGTCCAGGTGTCCCCCAGGGGGAAGATTGACCATTCCCCCGAGGGGGAAGAGGGTCCCGATTCCCCATGGGGGTAGAGATACCCTACGCCCAAGGGGGCTGAGGGTCCCAGAACCAACCCCCGCTCACCAGCGCCCCCAGCCGGCGGCCCTGAGAACTGCACCTTTGTGCATGCGCAGACGGGTGGGCGGGGTCAGGCACCGGCCCGGTGCGAGGCCTGGAGCTCATCAGCCCTGCTGGGCCTGGTGAGGACGCTTCCCCTTTGATTGGGGCTGGGTTGTTCCGGGCTTTCCCCGTCAGCGAGTCTGCCTGCAGTTTTGGAAGAGGCCGCGGGCGCCGGTTCTCTGGGCCGAACAGGGGGTCCCCGCCCTTGACACTGACCCCCCGCCTCTCTCTAGGGCGTATTCGTTTTCGCGGCCGGCCCCTGGGGCTGTGAGTGCGAGAGGAGGATGCAGGTGTCCCCCAGGGGGAAGATTGACCGTTTCCCCGAGGGGGAAGAGGGTCCCCATTCCCCATGGGGCTACAGGTGCCCCCACTCTCAAAGGGGCTGAAGGTCCCCGAACCACCCCACTCTCACCAGCGCCCCCTGCCGGCGGCCCTGAGAACTGCACCTTTCGGCATGCGCAGACGCGTGGGCGGGGGTCAGGCTTCAGCACGGGGCGGAGCCTGGAGCTCATCAGCCCTGCTGGGCCAGGTGAGGACGCTTCCCCTTTGATTGGGGCAGGGTTGTCCCTGGCTTTCCGCGTCGGCGAGTCTGCCTGCAGTTTTGGAAGAGGCCGCGGTCGCCGGTTCTCTGGGCCGAACACGGGCTGCCCGCCCTTGACACTGACCCCGCCCCTCTCTCTAGGGTGTGTTCGGTCGCGCGATCGGCCCCTGGGGGTGTGAGTGCGAGAGGAGGGTGCAGGTGTCCCCCAGGGGGAGGATTTACCGTTTCCCCGAGGGGGAAGCGGGTCCCGATTCCCCAATGGGGTAGAGGTACCCCTATGCCCAAGGGGGCTGAGGGTCCCCGAAACACCCCCACGCTCAGCAGCGCCTCTTGCCGGCGGCCCTGAGAACATCTCCTTTGCACATGCGCAGACTCGGGTGGGCTGGGTCTGGCTCCGGCTGGGGACGGAGCCGGGGGCTCATCAGCGCTGCTGGGCCAGGTGACCACCCTTCCCCTTTGACTGGTGCTGGCTTGCCCGGGGCTGTCCGCGCAGGCCTGTCTGCCTGCAGTTTGGGAAAAGGCCGCAGTCACCGCTTGTCCGTGGCTTACAGGGTGTGGCCTCCACTGACAGGGACCCCGCCCCTCCGTCTAGGGTGTGTTCCGGCCCAGGGCCTGCCCCTGGGGGTGTGAGTGCTAGAGGAGGGTGCAGGTGTCCCCCAGGGGGAAGATTGACCGTTCCCCCGAGGGGGAAGAGGGTCCCGATTCCCCATGGGGGTAGAGATACCCTACGCCCAAGGGGGTTGAGAGTCCCAGAACCACCCCCCCCGCACACCAGCGCCCCCAGCCGGCGGCCCTGAGAACTGCACCTTTGTGCATGCGCAGACTCGGGTGGGCGGGGTGTGGCTCCGGCCGTGGGCGGATCCGGGGGCTCATCAGCGCTGCTGGGCCAGGTGACAACCCTTCCCCTTTGAGTGGTGCTGGCTTGCCTGGGGCTGTCCGCGCCGGCCTGTCTGCCTGCAGTTTGGGAAGAGGCTGCGGTCGCTGCATGTCCGTGGCTTACAGGGGGTGCCCTCCCCTGACAGGGACCCCGCCCCTATGTCTAGGGCGTGTCCGGGCCCGGGGCAGGCCCCTGGGGGTGTGAGTGCTAGAGGAGTGTGCAGGTGTAACCCTGGGGGAAGATTGACCGTTCCCCCGAGGGGGAAGATGGTCCGATTCCCCATGGGGGTAGATGTCCCCCTACGCCCAAGGGGGCTGAGGGTCCCCAACCACCCTCCGCTCACCAGAGCCCTCTGCCGGGGGCCATGAGAACTGCAACTTTGCGCATGCGCAGACGGGTGGGCGGGGTCAGGCACCTGCCGGGGGCGGAGCCTGGAGCTCATCCGCCCTGCTGGGCCAGGTGAGAACATTTCCCCTTTGATTGAGGCTGGGTTGTCCTGGGCTTTCCGCGTCGGCGAGTCTGCCTGCCGTTTGGGAAGAGGCCGCGGTCGCCGCTTGTCCGTGGCTTACATGGGATGCCCTCCCCTGATAGGGACCCCGCCCCTCCGTCTAGGGCGTGTTCGTGCCCGGGTCCCGGCCCCTGGGGTTGTGAGTGCTAGAGGAAGGTGCAGGTGTCCCACAGGGGGAAGATTGACCGTTCCCCCGACGGGGAAGAGGGTCCCGATTGCCCATGGTGGTAGAGGTCCCTCTACGCCCAAGGGGGCTGAGGGTCCTCGAACCACCCCCCAGCTCAGCAGCGCACACTGCCGGTGGCCCTGAGAACACCACCTTTGCACATGCCCAGACGGGTGGGCGGGGTCAGGCTCGGCCCGGGGCGGAGCCTGGAGCTCATCAGCCCTGCTGGCCCAGGTGAGGACGCTTCCCCTTTGATTGGGGCTGGGTAGTCCCGGGTTTTCCGCGTCAGCGAGTCTGCCTACAGTTTTGGAAGAGGCCGCGGTCGCCGGTTCTCTGGGCCGAACAGGGGGTGCCCGCCCTTGACACTGACCCCGCCCCTCTCTCTAGGGCGTGTTCGGTCCCGCGGCCGGAAAATGGGGGTGTGAGTGCGAGAGGAGGGTGCAGGTGTCCCCCAGGGGGAAGATTGACGTTTACCAGAGGGTGAAGAGGGTCCCCATTCACCATGGGTTTACAGGTGCTCCCACCCTCAAAGGGACTGAGGGTCCCCGATCCTCCCCCCGCTCACCAGCGCCCCATGCCGGCGACCTTGAGAACTGCACCTTTACGCATGCGCAGACTCGGGTGGGCGGGGTCTGGCTCCGGCCGGGGGCGGAGCCAGGGGCTCATCAGCGCTGCTGGGCCAGGTGATAACCCTTCCCCTTTGAGTGGTGCTGGCTTGCCCGGGGCTGTCCGCGCCGGCCTGTCTGCCTGCAGTTTGGGAAGAGGCCGCCAGCGCTGCGGGTTCGTGGCTTACAGGGGGTGCCCTCCCCTGACAGGGACCCCGCCCCTCCGTCTAGGGCGTGTTCGGGCCAGGGCCGGCCCCTGGGGGTGTGAGTGCTAGAGGAGTGTGCAGGTGTCCCCCGAGGGAAGATTGACCGTTCCCCCGAGGGGGAAGAGGGTCCAGATTCCCCATGGGGGTAGAAGTCCCCCTACGCCCAAGGGGGCTGAGGGTCCCTGAACCACCCCCCCGCTCACCAGCGCCCCCTGCCGGCGGCCATGAGAACTGCACCTTTGCGCATGCGCGGACGGGTGGGCGGGGTCCGGCTCCGGCCGGGGGCGGAGCCTGAGGCTCATCAGCGCTGCTGTGCCAGGTGACGACTCTTCCCCTTTGAGTGGTGCTGGCATGCCCTGGGCTTTCCGCGCCGGCCTGTCTGCCTGCAGTTTTGGAAGAGGCCGTACTCTCCGATTGTCCCTGGCTTACAGAGGGTGCCTTCCCCTGACAGTGACACCGGCCCTCCGTCTAGGGCGTCTGCGGGCGCCCGTCCCGCCACTGGAGCTGTGAGTGCGAGAGGAGGGTGCAGGTGTGCCCCGGGGGGAATATTTGCCGATTCCCGGAGGTGGAGGAGGGCCCCGTTCCCCCATGTGGGAGGAAAGTTCCATACCCCGATGGTTGCAGAGGTCCCCCCTAACCCCGAGGGGTCTCTGGGTCCCCAAACCCCTCAAAAGCGCCCCCTAGCGGCGGCCCTAGGAAGTGCAACTGTGCGCAGGCCGACTCGGGTGGGAGGGGTCAGCTCCGGCCAGGGGCGGAGCCTGAGGCTCATCAGCGCTGCTGGGCCAGATGAGGACGCTTCCCCTTTGAGTGGTGCTGGCTCACCCGGGGCTTTCCGCGCCGACCTGTCTGCCTGCCGTTTTGGAAGAGGCCGCGGTCGCCGCTTGTCCCTGGCTTACATGGATTGCACACCGCTGACAGGGACCCAGGCCCTGCGTCTAGGGCGTCTGCAGGCCCAGGACCCGCCGCTGAGGTAGTGAGTGCGAGAGGAGGGTGCAGGTGTGACCCGGGGGCAAGATTTGGGCTTCCCCGGAGGGGGAAGAGGGCCCCGTTCCCCCATGTGAGAGGAAAGTTCCGTACCCCCATGGGTGCAGAGGTCCCCCTAGCCCTCAGGGGGCTGAGGGTCCCCGAACCCCCCTCACCAGCGCCCCCTAGCGGCTGCCCTAGGAAGTGCACCTGAGCGCAGGCAGAGTCGGGTGGGCGGGTCAGGCTCCAGCCAGGTGAGGACTCTTCCCCTTTGAGTGGTGCTGGCTTGCCCGGGGCTTTCCGCACCGTCCTGTCTGCCTGCACTTTTGGAAGAGGCAGCGGTCACCGCTTGTCCCTGGATAACAGGGGGTGCCCTCCCCTGACAAGACCCCGGCACTCCGACTAGGGTGTGTGCGGGCGCAAGGCCTGCCGCTGGGGCTGTGAGTGCGAGAGCAGGGTGCAGGTGTGCCCCGGGAGGATAATTTGGGCATTCCCGGTGGGGGAAGAGGGCCCCATTCCCCCATGGGGGAGGAAAGTTCCGTACCCCCATGGGTGCAGAGGTCCCACTAGCCCTGAGGGGGCTGAGGGTCCCCGAACCCCCTCATCAGCGCACCCTAGCGGTGGCCCTAGGAAGTGCACCTGAGCGAAGGCAGAGTCGGGTGGGCGGGTAAGGCTCTGGCCAGGTGAGGACTCTTCCCCTTTGTGTGGTGCTGGCTTGCCCGGGGCATTCCGCGGGGGCCTGTCTACCTGCACTTTTGGAAGATGCCGCGGTCGCCACTTGTCCCTGACACAGGGGGTGTCCTGCCCTGACAGGGACCCCGGCACACCGTCTAGGGCGTCTGCGGGCGCCGGGCCCGCCGCTGGGGCTGTGAGTGCGAGAGGAGGGTGCAGGTGTGCCCCGCGAGGAAGATTTGGGCTTCCCCGGAGGGGGAAGAGGGCCCCGTTCCCCCATGGGAGAGAAAAGTTATGTACCCCCATGGGGGCAGAGGTCCCCCTAGCCCCGAGGGGGCTGAGGTTCCCAGAACCCCCTCACCAGCGCCCCCGGGCGGCTGCCCTAGGAAGTGTACCTGAGCGCAGGCAGAGTCGGGTGGGCGGGGTCAGTCTCCGGCCAGGGGCGGAGCCTGAGGCTCATCAGCGCTGCTGGGACAGGTGATGACTCTTTCCCTTGGAGTGGTGCTGGCTTGCCCGGGGCTTTCCGCGCCGGCCTGTCTACCTGCAGTTGTGGAAGAGGCCGCGGTCGCCGCATGTCCCTGGCTTACTGGGTTTGCCCTCCCCTGACAGGGAACCCGGCCCTCCGTCTAGGGCGTCTGTGGGCGCAGGGCCCTCCGCTGGGGCTGTGAGTGCGAGAGGAGGGTGCAGGTGTGCCCCGGGAGGAATTTTTGGGATTCCACGGAGGGGGAAGTGGGCCCCGTTCCCCCATGGGGGAGGAAAGTTCCGTATCTCCATGGGTGCGGAGGTCCCCCTAGTCCCGAGGGGGCTGAGGGTCCGCGAAACCCCTCACCAGCGCCCCCTAGCGGCGGCCCTAGGAAGTGCACCTGAGCGCAGGCTGACTCGGGTGGGAGGGGTCAGTCTCCGGCCAGGGGCGGAGCCTGAGGCTCATCAGCGCTGCTGGGCCAGGTGAGGACTCTTCCCCTTTGAGTTGTGCTGGCTTGCCCGGGGCTTTCCGCGCCGGACTGTCTGCCTGCACTTTTGGAAGAGGCCGTGGTGGCTGTTTGTCCCTGACTTACAGGGGGTGCCCTCTCCTGACAGGGACCACGGCCCTCAGTCTAGGGCGTCTGCGGGCGCCAGGCCCGCCGCTGGGGCTGTGAGTGTGAGAGGAGGGTGCAGTTGTGCCCCGGGAGGAAGATTTGGGCTTCCCCGGAGGGGGAAGAGGGCCCCGTTCCCCCATGGGGGAGGAAAGTTCCGAACCCCCTTGGGTGCAGAGGTCCCCCTAGCCCCCAGGTGGCTGAGGGTTCCCGAACCCCCTCACCACTGGAAATAGCAGCGCACCTAAGAATTGCACCTATGCGCAGGCAGAGTCGGGTGGGCGGGGTCTATCTCTGGCCAGGGGCCGAGCATGAGGCTCATCAGCACTGCTGGGCCAGGTGAGGACTCTTCCCCTTTGAGTAGTGCTGGCTTGCCCGGGGATTTCGGCGCCGGACTGTCTGCTTGCACTTTTGGAAGTGGCCGCTGTGACCGCTTGTCCCTGGCTTAGAGGGGGTGCCCTCCCTTACCAGGGACCCCGGCCCTCAGTCTAGGGCGTCTGCGGGCTCCGGGCCCGCCGCTGGCGCTGTGAGTGCGAGAGGAGTGTGCAGTTGTGCCCCGGGAGGACGATTTGGGCTTCAGCGGATGGGGAAGTGGGACCCGTTCCCCCATGGAGGGGGAAAGTTCTGTACCCCATGGGTGCAGAGGTCCCCCTAGCCCCGAGGGGGCTGAGGGTCCTCGAACCCCCTCACAGCGCCCCATGGCGTCGGCCCCAGGAAGTGCACCTGTGCGCAGGCACAGTCGGGTGGGCAGAGTCAGGCTTCAGCCAGGGGCGCAGCCTGAGGCTCATTTGCGCTTCTGGGCCAGGTGAGGACTCTTCCCCTTTGAGTGGTGCTGGCTTGCCCGGGGCTTTGCGTGCCGGCCCCTCTGCCGGCAGTTTTGGAAGAGGCTGCGGTGGCCACTTGTGCCTGGCTTAGAGGGGGTGCCCTTCCCTGACAAGGATCGTGGCCCTCCGTCTAGAGAGTCTGCTGGCACAGGGCCCGCCGCTGGGGCTGTGAGTACGAGAGGACGGTGCAGGTGTGCCCCAGGAGGAAGATTTGGGCTTCCACGGAGGGGGTAGAGGGCCCCGTTCCCCCATGGGGGAGGTAAGTTCCGTACCCCCATGGGTGCAGAGGTCCCCCTAGCCCCGAAGGGCTGAGGGTCCCCGAACCCCCTCACCAGCGCCCCCTAGCTGCGGACCTAGTAAGTGCATTTGTGCGCAGACAAAGTCATGTGGGCGGGCTCAGGTTCCCGTCAGGGGCGGAGCCTGAGGCTCATCAGCGCTGCCTGGCCAGGTGAGGACTCTTCCCCTTTGAGTGGTGCTGGCTTGCCCGGGGCTTTCGC